GCGTGCTGTGTTCGTCGCGCTGTGATGACGTCAGCTACGCGGTTTCGTCGAGCACGCTTTAGTCTAACGCGGTTTTGTGGTGGAACCGTATTCCCTCTCCCCACCCCACCCAATGTTTGGTAGTGACAGATTCAGAGAGCTGGATATCCAAACTGAATCATATAAAATGTCTGTTTTCAGTTCCTCTTTCTTTGGCCTTGCACACACAATGAGTTTTATCCTTCTGCAAAATAGCCATGAGATAAGCACTAAATTCCTGCAACAACACTGAAATCCGCAATTGTTTTCCTTTTGGAACGTGGACTTTTTCTGGACTCGGTCAGTTCATTTCGGAATCAGGCAATTCTTTTCCTGGCTGCTGAGCTGCCTTCAGAGGACAGAGAGCTCCTGATTTCGCTGCCTGGAAAAAAATCAGGCCCCCCAACATGGGGAGGTCCTGGGCCAGAGGCATCGAGGGTGCTTTCCACAAAGCAAGAACTGGCATTCTTGGTCCGGAAGGGTGGGGGGCTTAGTCTTGCCCATTGAATGGGGGCAGGGGAGCCAGGGAGGGAGCTCAGATTTGGGGGAAGACGAAGGATGGCTGGCCAAGAGAGCTTGCCCTCACCTGAGAGCCAGGAGATGTGGCCCGCCTGGCTGCCAAACTGCCTGCAGAAAGCAGCAAGACACATGCTTGGGGCATCCGAGTCTCACCCCTGGGGTTCTCTAGCACTGGGCCTTTTACCAGAGGGGAGACATTGGAAAGGCCCAGTGGCCCTTCACCCCAACTCAGAGCCGGCCCAGAGTAGTTGGGCTGGAAGACGATGCAAGATAAGCCGAGGACAGGGGCAGCTTGCCAAGGATCTTGCCCGCCGCAACGGAGCTCTTTCCCCGGGAAGCTCCTTGCAGGCACCCCTCGCCCACTTCCCTGTACGTAACATGGCCGAGGGCCACAAGCCCAGCCGTCTGCCTGGCTGGCTGGCTCGAGCTCTCCACTAGGCATTGTGTCTTGGGTTGCCTGAAGGAAGAGGCCTCTGGCTCTGCCATTGGCTGGAGTGGCGCTCGCTTCCTCCCCAATTGGCTGGGGGAGGCCTGCCGCAGCTTTTGCCAGGTGGGAGTTCCTCCCACTGCAGGACAGGTGAAGATTTTCTGAGGCAGATTGGGATTCTTAAGGCTACAGAGCACCTGGATTCCTCAAGATCAGCAAAGGCAGGCATGCCTCGGGACGCCTGATTGTTGCCTTCCCCCAAAAACTTGTTTTTCCTCTCCCGATTTGGCTTTCGCAACTCGGCCAGGTGGGAGAAGGGGGCACATGCAAACAGGATGAGCGGCAGTGGGCTTGTCGCCAGCTCCCTGGTCTCTGAGGAAAGTGTGGCTTTTACGCCCTTGAAGCCCGTCGCGATGGCGAGGGAATGCACTGACGACATGGCCGTCTTCGAGGACATCAAACCGCCCGTACGAATCCTGGAGAATCAACAGGATTTGTCCCAGGTAAGGGAAGGGTGGGACTTCTGGACACGAAGCGTACTCTGTTGTAATCAGGGTGAGTAGAAAAGCATTCTTTTTGGAGAGTTGCTGCTTTAATCCGAAAGGTTGATGAGATCAATGATCGGAAAGTTTCGAAACGGGCCGTAGTCTTCTTTTCCTCTCTGATTATGGATTTTTGGGGGTGGCTGCAAGAGGCGGAAAAAAAGTGCTGCGGATTTTAGGCTGTTGGGAAACCGCTGCGGGTCCCCCAAAAGTTATAATGGGTCTGGAGTCAGCCTGAAATGTAAATCAGTTTTTGGGGTACAAACAGGGCGACTTGGATGGAAACAAGGAGCGAGGAAAACGAAAGCTTTTGAGAAAAGACGTACCTGAATTTGGCCTTCTTTTGTGGCGCGCGGGATGAGGTTTCTGGGGTGCTGCTTTTTACGGTGGGAACGTTCCCAGGAAAGGGAGGCTCCCTGAGGACCTCGGGGGTTGTTTCCCTTCGTGGGAAACGAAGGGGGGGGGAAACCTTTCGCGCGCGAGAGAGAGAGCAGATTCTCTGGCCAGGTGCCTGCAGGGCGTTTCTGAGCCAAAAACATTGCTCCGAGGAAGAGCCCGCCGCCGAGATTACGTGCTGCTTGCTGTCTGGGCTGCCGCCTTCGGGAATCACAGGAATGGAATTCTCCTTGAGGTTCCCCAGCTGTGAGGCCCCCTGCCTCCCCTCCCCACCCCCACCCACGAGACGGCGCTGAATCAAGAGGTGGAGGCAGAGAGCCCGCCTGGCACCTCTCCGCGGGCTCCTCAACCTGGCCGAAGATGCTGCTCTTTCCTGCTTCCGTCCAACGTGTGAAAGAAACACCCAGGCCTTGTGGGGCCAAGCCAGAGGCAGGGAGAAGGTTGCGCTGCTGTTATGCACATGGGGAAGACTCTCTCCCACTGCGGAACTGGTGGCCTTGTGTTTGTGTTGTGTGTGTGTGGGGGGGGGAGGAAGCTCTCTCCTGGCCCTCTCTGCAAGGAAGGGGAGGCCAGGTCAAAGCCAGAGGGTCCTCGCGGGAGGGAGGTGGCGTTCCTTAGGCTTTGCGCTCCAGGGCAGGAGGACTGACCTTCTGCCTCGTCTTGGCCTAGGCCGTGTCAGCATTATGGAGGGCAAGGCAGGGCAGGGACTCCAGGGGAAATCAGGAAGGGCTTCTGGGGCTGGGCTCAGGGCTCAGGTGTCCTGCAGGTGACCACAATAGTGGAAGATCTCCCCAGCCCTATTGAGACGCTTCTGTAACGGAGAGACTCTCTTGCCCCACACGCCGGTCCGCTTGTCATATCGAGTGGAACCGCATCGGGGGCGCCTTGCCCTCGGAGGCCATGCTGTTTATTCGCCACGGGGTTTTGCGACTTGATCCGGGGAGCAGATTCGGCTTCTCAGCCCCTCAACTGTTGACTTGGAGAGGCGGCTGATCTGCCGCCCACCCTCCCCAGGGAGGCCTCTTCCGTGGGGCCACCGGGGGGGGACAGAATCGGCCGACCACCTTCTCGGCACAAACGCCCCCCTGGTACTTGAGAGACCGCCTGCTGCCAATTACCTCCCAAAGACCCATTAGATCACACAGGGTCGGCCTCCTCCGGGTCCCGTCCACCAGCCAATGCCACCTGGCTACCACCCGGTG